CACACCTTCTTTATCCATTCATCTTCAGACAGACACTTAGGCTGTTTCCATATTTTGACTATTATGAATAATCCTACAACTGACATGGGAGTCAGATATCTCTTTGAGATCTGGATTACATTTCCTTCAGCTATATATCTATAAGTGGGATTGCTGGATCATATGGTAGTTCTATTTTTATTTTTTTGAGGAAACTTCATACTGTTTTCCACAGTGGCTTTATCAGTTTATATCCCACCAAGAGTGCACAAGGTTCCCTTTTCTCCACATCTTCACCAACACTTGTTAACTCTAGTCTTTTTAATGACAGTCATTCTAACAGGTGTGGGATATCTCATTGAGGTTTTGATTTTTATTTCCCTTATGATTGGTGATGTTGAGTACCTTTTCACATACTTGTATAGCCACTTGTATGTCTTCTTTGGGGAAATGTCTGTTCAGTTCCTCTATTTTTAAATCAGACTGCTTATATATCTTTTTGCTAATGAGTCATATGAGTTCCTTATATATATTGTGGATATTAATCCCTTAATAGATATATGATTTGCAAATACTTGCTCCCATTCTTTAGGTTGCCTTTGCATTTTTTTATTTTTTTCTGTGCAGAAGCTCTTTAGTTTGATGTAGTCCCACTAACTAATTTTTGCATTTGTTGCTTGTACTTTTGGTGTCATATACAAGAAATCATTACCAAGACCAATGTCAAGGAGCTCCTTTCCTATCTTTTCTTCTTGGAGCCTTACAGTTTCAGACCTTACATTAAAGTGTTTAAAATGTTTAGTTAATTTTTGTGAGTGGTGTAAGATAAACGTCCAATTTATTCTTATACATGATTATCCAATTTTCCCAGCACCATTATAATGAAGATAATCCTTTCTCCACCACATATTCCTGGCTCCCTTGTCAAATATTAGTTGCCTATTCATGCATTTTTTTCCTCTGGGCTCATAATTCTGTTCCTTGGTCTATGTGCCTATTTTTATTCTAGCATCATACTCTCTTAATTAGTATACATACTGTTTTGATTAGTATAGCTTTGTAGTACAGTTTGAAATTTGGAAATGTCATATCTCTAGCTTTGTTGTTTCTCAAGATTGCTCTGGTTATTCAATGTCTTCTGTAGTTCCACACAAATTTTAGTATTTTTTTTCTATTTTGGTGAAAAATACCATTGAAATTTTTATAGGAATTGCACTGAATCTACAAATGGCTTTTAGTATGGACATTTTAATAATATTAATATTTCTGATCCATGAACATCAGATACCTTTCCATTTATGTGTGTCTTCTTCAATTTTGTTCATCAAAATCTTATAGTTTTTACTATATGGATCTTTCACCTCCTTGGTTAAATTTATTCCTAAGCATTTTATTGTTTTTGATGCTATTGAGAATGGGATAACTTTATTTCTTTTTCAGATATTTCATTGTTAGTGTATAGTAATGCAAGTGGCTTCTGTATGCTGATTTTGTATCCTGCAACTTTACTAAATTCACTGATTAGTTTTAAAAGTTTTTTGGTGGAGTCTTTAGGATTTTGTCTACATAAGATCATATCATTTGCAAACAAAGACAATTTCACTTCTTCCATTCTGATTTGGATGCCTTCTATTTCTTTTTACTTGCCTAAGTGCACAAGCTAAGATTTCAAGTACTATTTTAATTAAGAGTGGTGAAAGTAGGCCCCTTTTCTTGTTCCTAATCTTAAGAGAAAGGCTTTCAATCTTTCACTGTTGAGTATGATGTTAACTGTAGACTTGTCATATATGACTTTTATTTTGTTGAAGTATGCCCTTCGATACCTAATTTGTTAGAGTTTTTTTTTTTTTTTTTTAATGTTTATTCATTTTGGGGGGGGAGGGAAGGAGGGAGGGAGGAAGACAGAGAGAGAGAGAATGAATCCTAAACAGGCTCTGAGCTGTCAGTCAGCACAGAGCACAATGTGGGGCTCAAATTCATGACCCATGAGATCATGACCTGAGCCAAAGTCAGAAGCTTAATTGACTGAGCCACCTAGGGGCCCCTGTTTACAGTTTTTATCAGGAAAGTAAGTTATACTTTGTCAAATGCTTTTTTCTGTAGCTATTGAGATGATCATGTGCTATTTATCTTTCATTCTATTAATATGATGTATCACATTTACTGATTTGCATATGTTGAACGATCTTTGTATCCCAGTGATAAAGCCCTCTTGATCATGGTGTATGATCTTTTTAATGTGCTGTTGAATTCAACTTGTTAACATTTTATTAAGGATTTTATGCAGAGACATCTACTGCATCTATATTCATCAGGGACATTGGCCTATAGTTTTCTTTTCTGGTAATGTCCTTATCTGGCTTTAATAGGAGGGGAATGTGAACCTCATAAAACAAATCTGGCAGTATTCCCTCCTTTTCAATTTTTCAGGGTGCTTGAGGATTGGAATTAATTTTTCTTTAATGTTTGATAGAATTCACCAGAGAAATCATCTGATCCTGGGCTTTCTTTGTTGGGAGGTTTTTGATTACTGATTCAATCTCTTTACTCAATATTGATCAGATTTTTTTAATGTATTCATGATTCATTCTTGCTGGGTTGTATGTTTCTAGGAATTTATCAATTTCTTCTAGGTTACCCAATTTGTTGGCCTATAATTGTTTATAGTAGTCTCTTATGTTCCTTCATATTTCTGTGGTATCAACAGAATTGTCTCTTTCATTTCTGATTTGACTCTTATTTTTTCTTAGTCCAGCTAAAGGTCTGTTATCGATGTTTATCTTTCAAAACAAAACCAAACCCAGCTCTAGTTTCATTGATATTTTCTATTGTTTTTCCTCGTATCTTTTAATTTTTTTTTAATTTTTAAAGTTTATTTTGGAGAGAGAGGGGGCATGAATGAAGGCGGGGTAGAGAGGGAGAGAGAATTCCAAGCAGAATCTGAGCTGTCAGTGCAGTACCCAGCACGGGCTCAAACTCAAAAACTATGACCTCATGACTTGAAATAAAACCAAGAGTTGAAGGCTTAACTCACTGAGCCGCCCAGGCGTTCCTCTCTTTTACTTATTTCTGCTCTCATCTTTGTTATTTCCTTCCTTCTGCTAACTTTGGGTTTAGTTTGTTCTTTTTCGATTTCCTTGAGGTATAAGGTCGGGTTGTTTATTTGAGATCTTTCTTTTTTCTTAATATAGGCATCTACTGCTTTAAACATCACTCTTGGAACTGCTTTTTATGCATTCTACAGGATGCACACACCACCATATTATAGTATTAAGAGTATTCTGAATTTGGCTATATACTTACCTTTACCACTGTGTTGTGTATTTTCACATATTTTCATATTACTAATTAGTGTCCTTTCATTTCACCTGGAAGCACTCCTTTCAGCATTTTTTAAGGGGGTAAAGAACTCCCTCAACTTTTGTCTAGGAAAGTCTTTATCTCTCCTTCATTTCTGTAGGAAAACCTTGTCAGGCAAGAGTATTTTTTGATTGGCAGTTGTTTCTTCAGCACTTTAATTCATCTGACTCCCTTCTGGTTGCTAAGATTTCTGCTGAGAAATCCACTGACAGACTTATCCCTTGTAAGTTACAATCTTCTTTCCTTTTGCTGCTTTTAAGATTCTCTGATTTTTGACAATTTTATTATAACACGTCTCAGAAGAAACCTCTTCAAGCCGTTTGTTCAGTAACTTGTGAGTTTCATAACTTGATTATTCAAATTTCTCCCCACATTTGGGTAGCTGTCAGCCGTTACTTCTTTGAATAAGCTTTCTGCCCCCTTTTTCCTCTGTTCTTCTTCTGGAACTCCAGTAATTCACAAACTGTTTCTTTGATGGTGTCCCATAAATCACACAGGCTTGCTTCATTCTTTTCTTACATTTTCATTTGTTCTCTGGATGGATAATACCAACTTTACTGTCTTCTAACTCACAAATTCTTTGCCTGCTTGATCCATTCTGATGTTGATGTTCTTTAGTGCTCTTTTTTTTTCATTCTATTCATTGTATTTTTCAGCCCCTGAATTTGTTTAGTTTCTTTTTATGATTTCTTTGTTAAAACTTCTCATTTTGTTCATGTATTGCTTCTTGATTCCATTGAATTGTCTTTTTGTGTTTTCTTGTAGTTCATTAAGTTTCCTTAAAACAGTTATTTTGAGTTCTTTAATGGGAAAATTGCAGATCTCCATGTCTTTGAGATTGTTTACTGGAAGATGTTTGTGATCCTTTGGTGTTGTCATATTTTCTGGACTTTTCATGTTCTTTGAAGTTTTGTGTTAATGTCTTCACATTTGACATGGCAGTCACCTCCTCCAGTCTTACCTAACTGCCCTCACCAATGCATCCAAACTTGTATTTCTTTTTTTCTCCAACAGAGTGCTGAACTTTTTGGCTAGAAATGTGGACTTCCACAAAGGCTATTTTCTCCAGGTGTTACTGTCTAAGACAGTATTTTCAGGTGCTCCCACACCATAGCCAAGAGGGCTAGAGATGTTTCACAGGGCCCACAGCCAGGACCAAGGTCTGTATGCCTAGTACCTGATGCATAGGTGCAAAAGAGGCCTCCCAGGTCATTTGGCATTCAGTGCTGGATCCCACAGCTTCCACAAAGGCATTTTTGTCCATGGCTGGATGTCAAATTATTATTGCTGGCATGGGAGGACATGAATGAGGGATACCTTATTCAACCATGATGCTGTCATCTAATTTTAATTAATTTAAATGTTAAGAACTACATAAAGCCAGTAACCACCATATTGTACAGCACAGTTATAGAATCTTTGTTATACATATATTGTCTTACTGGAATTCTCTTTTAGAAACATAATTAAAGAAAACTTGAATATTATTGACTTTTAGGTATTCAATTAACAAAACTAAATATAAGCAAAAAGTAACATTCCTGGCATAAAATGTCAGAGTTGTGATCCAAAAGCTTGTTTTCCATTTCCAGAAATCATCAAAGAATTCCTTTTAACCTCTTGTAAAACAGGCTTTTGAGACAATTACCAAAACAACATACCAGGGTTCCATTTACGTCCTGACTCAGGTTCTTCATCTCCCCAACAATGAATGCAACCAGGTAAGTGCTCATTTTCACACTCTCAGAAAACTCATCCTGAATAAGTCCATCTTCCATAATGATTGATGAATTCTACAAGCAATGGGAAAAGATAACAGTTCTGTAATTATGGTAATAAATGACTTAATAAACTAAGAAATTAAAAATTCAAATACGAAATGAGTAGTGAAGATGTTGACATATTTTAATTTCTCAGCATAAGAGAACATGACTCTTTCTCCAAACAGAGAATGACCCTTACTCTCATTCTGTTCTATCATCGCTTATCATGAAAATATACTGAGTAGGGGTGCCTGGGTAGTTCAGTTTGTTGAGTGTCCAACTCTTGATCTCACCTCAAGTCATGACCTTAGGGTTGTGGGATAGAGCCCTGTGTCAGGCTTGGCAGTAAGTGTGGAGCCTGCTTAAGATTCTCTCTCTCCCTCTCTCTCTCCCTCCCTCTCTCTGGCTCTCTCCCCTGCTTGCTCTCTCTCTCTCTCTAAAAGAAAAAAGAAAAAAACACACTGAATACAGTGAAAATCTTTAAGGAATTTTTAGTTTCAAAAGATGGTTTTAAATAAACATAACTTAGAGAAGGTAAATAACAGGGGTTCTGTTTCTTCCTTTTAAAATACCACCAAAACCAAAATCCTTCCTTATGACATAGGAGCGTTCCACTCTACTGCTACAAACACAGAAGAAGGAGCTAAAGTTAGAATATTCCTCTGAAAGATCTGAAACAGCTTTTAAAGTACCATGTTGGGGTGCCCTGGGTGGCTCAGTTGGTTGAGCGTCCAACTTTGGCTCAGGTCATGATCTCACAGTTTGTGAGATCATGACCTGATTGGGATCTGTGCTGGCAGCTCAGAGACTGGAGCCTGCTTTGGATTCTGTGTCTCCCTCTCTCTCTCTGTCCCTCCCCCACTCATGCTCTGTCTCTGTCTCAAAAATAAACATTAAAAAAAAAATTAAAGTACCATGGTGATGACCCCAAGAAGGCTTAGTGGGATCAAAGGTGGTAAGTCACTATGCAGTATGTAGTAGACACAAGATTAGAGAAGCCTTCCAAGATTTTCTGACCATGAATTAAGATATGTTTGGGGTTACTAGGCAAGTAGGCATCTCACCTCTTTTAGAGGAAGATTAAGGTGAAGAGTAGGGGTAGGACTGGAACTGCTGAAGTGATGTCCCTATTGAAGGACAGATCACATCCTCGCCTGCCTACAAAGGTTGACTCCACAGTCTGTTAGACGTGGCTACTCCTCTCCCCTAGCCACATGGGTTCTGAGAGGCTCCCATCAGATTCCACATGGCCACTCAGGTGTCATGAAAAAAAAAAAAAAAAAACCTAAGTTCTGTCTAGCATAAAAACAATTCTGCTTGGTTTTGTCCCATTGCCTCCCACACAGAATTTACATCCAAGAAAGAGGTTCACGTTCTTGTTAAGCCTCCACGTTAGAATACTGATTTTTCAATAACCAATAAAACACCAAGGTCAATCATGATTCAACATTATCATGCACCACTATTTAGAACAGCAAATTCACTAAGTCTCAGAAAACATCACTGCGATTTTTAGTACTAGTTCATATAGTATTAGTATTTGCATACCTTTCATATACAGCACATACTTCATATTTCCTGCCCACACATTGCATATCGAGCAGGCCTTACTCTTTCTTCAAGTGCTCCTTGAGCTGACTTCTCTATTAATTCTAACATATATTTTAACTTCTATTTAAGCATTTTAAGAAAGGATAAGAATATACATGATTTTACTCATTCTCAACAGTATCACAAAGAGGAATTCAAATATTTATAACAAAGAAAGAGACCCACTCAAGGATTTTACATTAAGGAACAGAACAGTACCTTAGGCATATTTGATAAAGCAGTATAGTGCTCATCCCTTATGATCCTGATGATAAATGTGGCTTTAAATCCTGGTTCATCAAAACAAGGAAAAGCAGATCTTGCTGCCAGGGGTTCAAACTGAGTTGCTGCAAAGTACCTAAAACAAATGCAAATTCATCCAATAGTTATTGAGCACCTACTATTCAAGGTATCCTGCCAAGTACTAGTGATACTAAAATAAACATGGTATAATCCCAGTCATCAAAGGATCTGCAATCAACTGGGAGAGACCTAGGTTATATGATGAACAGAAACCTGCAGGCTGCAAATCATGTCATTAATATTGAAAACAAAGCAGTGGAAATAAAGGATAGGAAACAAATTCTGACTGGCAGTTGAGATACTATATGGAAACTGGTGACAAACTTTTGAAGAGAATTTTAAAAAATGAAGAATATTCGAAAAGGTAGAGAAGGGAAGAAAGTATACTCTAGAAGGGTGGAAAGCACAAGGAAAGACAGTGATGGATACTCAGGGACAGGAGGTGGCTGTCCAAGATGGCTGGAGATGAAGCCACAAAGGTAGCCTACAGCTGGTCTTAAAAAGGTTTCAGATGGATGATCACTATGAAGGGTGGTCATTAATTGCCATTAATCACCTGTACAGACCCTGGCTTCACAACATTAAACCTTAAACTTACTAAACTTTCATGAAGACTAAAAAAACTAGCTACTCTGTAGTACATTTGTTTCCTTCAAGCTTTTCAGAAATGAATAAAAAAAACTTCCTCCCTCTCCTACAGAACAGCAACAACATTTGAGAATTTAACTCATATGGAAGTCTTACATTAAAAGTTGGGAGAGGGTGCCTGGGTGGCTCAGTCAGGTAAGCGTCCGACTCTTGATTTAGGCTCAGGTCATAACCTCACTGTTAGTGAACTTGAGCCCCGCATCTGGCTCTGCACTGACAGTGCAGAATCTGCTTGGGATTTTCTCTCTCTCTCTCTCTCTCTCTCTGCCCCTACCCCACTTACACATGCTCTCTTTCTCTCTCAAAATAAATAAACAAATAAACTTTTTAAAAAACTGAGAGAAAAGCATAAAAAAAGAGGAGAAAATCAGATTTCTAGTTAAACAGAGGAATAAAACAGATCTGCATTGGGGAAATCATCCAAACATGGCCATAGAATAATCAGGGCAAGTATGGCCCTGTTGTGCATATTTCAGGTACTGGTCAATATGGCACATATACAACCACCACCCTGGACAAGATGGCCTAGCTTGCTTAGGGCTTAGTTTCCACTTTTAAAAGACAGACAGAAAAGAGTGTGGGATTTGAAGTAAGAAGACCCAAACCCTGCACTTTACCAGCCATAGGAGTTCAGGCAAATCAGTAATAATACACACCTCAATTTCCTTATTTAAAAAAATTTTTTTTGATATTTAGTCATTTCTGAGAGACAGAGACAGAGTGTGAGCGAGGGAGGGAGGGAGAGAGGGAGACACAGAATCCAAAGCAGGCTCAAGGCTCTGAGCTGTCAGCACAGAGCCCGATGGAAGGCTCAAACTCACAGACCACAAGATCATGATGACCTGAGCTGAAGGTGGACCCTTAACTTACTAAGCCACCCCGTGCCCTCCTTATTTATTAAATTAGGACTGAGTAGGATCCTCTGCCAAACACCTAGGGGTCTTGTTAGAATCAAATAAGACTATTCAAAATAAAAACTACTTGTATGCCACAATTGCCAACATAGATGTTTATTATAAATGCTAGACAGTCATAACTCCTCATCCACACTCAATATTGTGTTTTCCTGATAAGAATTTGCCAAAATAACTGTTTCTATCGAGTAAACTACATGAAAGATAGCAATCAACATATATGAAACAATTTAAACATGCTATGTTGCTAATATTCAATTTCTTCACTCCATTCCCCAATTCTTACCTAGTTAATAGAAAATTGTGAAAGAGGGCCACAAGGGACCAGGGGATAAAGTTTAATGATATCTATACCATTCATATAAAAAGTCTATTTAGACGATCACTTTGGATAAAAACTGGATCATAATGTTCTGAGGCAAAGACAATCTTAAGTTATTTTTGAAAGAGATGCACTATTAACTATTTTACATAAGTCTCTTTGAGAAGGCTGCTGCTTGAGGATACTTATAATCTATCTTATCTATGCTGAATACCTTGAAGCTTATTCTTTCATTAGTGACTTCCTTTGCTTTCAGAAATATTAGCTGCAGTTTGAGCACTACCTCCAGTAGTGCTGAAGACAATCATGAATTAGCCAGGCTTCACATAAGAGAATTCTAACCACTGGGAATAACAATAGGTAAATAAATGAACAATGGGTAGTGTGAACTAGGGAGGCAGTACATCATAGTGGGGTTAAGAATGGGGTTAAAATGAGTTTGAGTTTGAGTTCCCCCCTCCTACCTGATAACCATAACGTATTATTTATGCTCTGCTTTTTTATCTGTAAAATGAATAAAATATTAATATCCACCTCTTAATGGGTTTGACAGGATAAAAGATTAAACATATAAAATGCTTCAAACAGTTTCTAGCACTTGAGTTCTCAGTAAATATGGGCTATGATTATCACTGGAATTCAGGAAAGTGCACATGAAGCTTATTGTAGCAGGTGAGGGCTATGAGATAAAACAAGGGCCACAGCTGGAAGAATCTTGAACTAAATCTTATCAGAAAAGAGGAAGTGCGAAGGCTCTCAAACCAAAGACCAATATGGTTAGATCTGTACTCTAGAAGTATGAGTCTAGGCAGTGTGGAAGATGGTGGCAAGAGGAGGGGAAAGCAGTGACAAGATTAGAAGTCAGTTAAGAAGATGCTTGAAGTGTTCAAAAAAAGGCACTGACAGACTGAAGGACAAAGAAATAAAACACATCCCTATCCTAAATTGTTTACTAGTTCTTTCAGCATCAGTTTATTATCTAGAATCTTAAGTATATCATCAACAACTTCTAGACTAAACTCCAAGGTCACTGGCCATTTCCCCTCTTAAATAACGTAAAGTTCCCTTACCACAAATACATGGTTGATATTTACATATACTCTGATTTCCCTATCAATAAGGAATATATCCCTAATTCTTTTATCTACTTATTTAATTATTCTTATTATACTTGGTGGAGGGGGTACAAAAAATTTCTCTAACAGAACTATGCAAAACTATGCAAAATTTGGAGAAAGGCAAAAAATTGTTTTGAATTAAAGTTTTCAGACACCTTGAAAGGCATAAATAATCTTCTCAAATTTATCTTCCATGAAGATATATAATTATGTGGGGCACTCATTTGGCTGAAGTAGTCAGGTTAACAGATTTATATACTTTCTGTAACAGCAGAGTTTTACAAACTAATTTGTTTTAATAGATTTAAAAACACTTGCTGGGGCACCTGGGTGGCTCCGTCAGTTAAGTATCCAACTCTTGATTTCAGCTCTGGTCATGATCTCATGGTTTGTGAGAAAGAGTCCCATGTCGGGCTCTACAATGACAGTGTGGGGCATGCTTGGGATTCTCTCTCTCCCTCTCTCTGCCCCTCCCCAGCTCACACTTTCTCTCTCTCTCCTCTGTCTCAAAAATAAATAAATAAACATTTTAAAAACACTTGTTAAAAGCATTCTATTTTTTATTTTTAAGGGATTGTCTTCTCTATTTTTCTAGAATTTTCCACAACTCAATCTAGCCCATGGCAAGAGTCAACAAGTGACCATACCCAAAATCAGCTTTCTTTGCCATACATTTATTCCTTCCATTATATAGTAGGAGTAGACTCAAGGGACTCCAAGAGCAATAATGATTCAAAGAGGTGACTACTGGATTTGTCTTAAAGGTGTGTTTGCATTGTTTTTACGTATATCCTCTAATTCTTAGAGCTGATGAAGATTATAAAAGGAGAAGTAAAGCCAAGAAGCCATGGGCTGCCAGTATAATTACAAATTTGCTTTTAACGTCAGATCTCATGCAAGAGCCAGCATGCCATTTTTTAAGTAAAGGCAAAGAGAAAAAAATTATTATTTTTTAAAATTTGTTTTTAATGTTTATTTTTGTTTTTTAGACACAGAGAGAGAGCATGAACAGGGGAGGGTCAGAGAGAGAGGGAGACACAGAATCCGAAGCAGGCTCCAGGCTCTGAGCTGTCAGCACAGAGCCCAATGCAGGGCTCAAACTCACGAACTGTGAGATCATGACCTGAGCTGAAGTCAGTCACTTAACCAACTGAGCCACCCAGGCACCCCAAGAAAAAAATTATTTATCTGAATAGCTGTACAGATCTTGTTTTTTCTTTCTCCATGTAAGAAGGATCAAACAAGTTCCTTTAGATTTAAAATATTCATTTCTATTTTTCTCAATACATAAACATACATTTGCCAAATGGCCAGCATCAGTAATTCACAAACTGGTATACAAAGTAATATGAGGGAATGCGCCAGCAAAATTAAGCACATCTATTAAGGACTTTGTGTACACCAGAGAAATGGTATTATTGCTACTTATGAGTAACCTGTATACAGTGCACACTGCATCCTTCCAGAAACTCAAATTCCAGAAACATTCTATGAATACTAAGATTAAAGTGTAAAATACATAAATAGCGAGAATACTTTTTTTTTTTTTAATTTTTTTTTTCAACGTTTTTATTTATTTTTGGGACAGAGAGAGACAGAGCATGAACGGGGGAGGAGCAGAGAGAGAGGGAGACACAGAATCGGAAACAGGCTCCAGGCTCCGAGCCATCAGCCTAGAGCCTGATGCGGGGCTCGAACTCACAGACCGCAAGATCGTGACCTGGCTGAAGCCGGACGCTTAACCGACTGTGCCACCCAGGCGCCCCAGAGAATACTTTTGTTTTAAGTCACTTTTTTTAAAACTAAATTAAGTCTGTCCTAGATTTTTTTAAATTCCATCAGAAATCCAAAATAGTGACTTTTTTTTAATGAACAGCAAATATTAAGGACACTAAAAATGATATATGTAAGCATACAACAGTTCTTCCTGCCCTCTTTCTCCATCTCAATAAGCACCTCCTAAAAGTTCTGCACATTAGGAAAATAGATCTAAAAGAATTATCCATACTCTTCTTTTCTTCTTTGATTCCCATTGAGATATTGTAAGGTGACTGAAAACTACATTCATCTAAGATACGAAAAGCTCAAAATAACTTAAGTTGTGGTGATAGAGAATGTAACTGATAAAAATCTTTATCAATTTCCTTCCATCAGCATATCCCACTCCTAACATAATATATGACATGTATGAGCATGATAGGTGCTCAAGGCTTTGATTAAAAAAGAAATAGTAGATGCTTCCAAATCACCATTCTATTTTGCACATAACCTCCTAAATTAAAAAAAAAAAAATTCCAGTTAACATATCTGGTATGGGCAAAGGAATCCACATTAAAGAAGTCTTCACAGAGCAAAGAAGTAGAACCATTTAAGAGGGCTACATACTTTTTCTCATTACTTTCATCTGTATAGGAGATTCCATAGAACCCACAGTAAGAAGTAGATATATTCGCCGAATACTCTATCTTCAAGGTATAATTGTGTCCTTCAAGAAGAGCTTCAGGGGCAACAATTGCAATTTGTTCATGAAATGGGTATTCCAAGACCTCAACTTGTTTTTCTTGGCTTGAAACTGCTGACATAAAGGTCACTCTTGAAATATTATGGCCTGTACTGTGAAGAACGATATTCCACGTGGCCTGAAGAGCCTGAAGTGAAATTGTCACAGAACCCCTGAATGTCATCGAGGTTAGGTTTGGGTGTAGGTTAAGTTCATAGCGTAGTGGCATAATGGCGGTGGGAAGCCTGACTTGTGCCCACGGAAACAACTTTCCATTTGTTGCAACTGGCTGAATTAGTCCCATTGATTGGTTTTTTTTATGGCAGCCTTCTTTGGTAAAAGTACATCTGGGTAGTAAATAAATCACCATGATTATAGAAACGGCAACCACAATAAGAAAAACACAGATCGCCATGGTCCTTGCAGAGGGTACTGAACAAGTCCCATCTGGGCTCGGCCTGTAGCCAGTTGCACTGTTCCGAAGGCCTGAGCTTCTGTTCATGAAGGACATGCCCAGCAGTTTTGCAGATGACTCATAATCCTCTTCGTCCTCATCCATCTCATGCTCACCAAGACCCCGCACCAGCAATCTTGAACCCCGGGGCTCATATTCCACCTCATCAGGCTCTAGAGGATGTAAACAGGGCTCTTTGGCTAAATCCACCACATCTGGTTCTTCCTCAAACATGCTGTTTTCAATCATATTCCTGGGGAGCTGAAGCAGATCTAAACAACCAAAACACAAGGACAAGGCAGAGTTAGAAAAAAAAAAAATCTCATAATAAAATGCCTACAAGCAAAACCACATTTAATCTAAGAATTCTTTTAACACTAAGGCTTATTTCCATCATGGAGCTACTGAATTAAATAAGATGCTTATAATTTTCTTTTATCATCCATTAGAAACTTAAGCATAAATAAAAGTATACCACAGTCATGAAATAAGAAAGCTAAATAAGCAGGCTAGTAACAAAAAAAGGCAGCTGAGACTAAATACTAATTTCCCGGGGCACCTGGGTGGGTCAGTTGGTTAAGTGCCCAACTCTTGATTTCAGCTCATGGTCCCTGAGGTCAAGTCCCATGTCCAGCTGTGTGCTGACAGTGTGGAGCCACTTGGGATTCCCGCCCCCCCTCTCTCTGCCCCTGCCTCATTCACGCCCATGCTCTATCTCTCAAAATAAATCAACTTTTAAAAAAATTTTCTTTGAATAAAACTTTTGATTACATTCTAGGTGTGGGTTTAGCAAGCTGCCATTTTTCCACCTCCTGTGAATGACCTAGAAATGGAAGAAGAGTGATTATATAACATACCGCTTTAGGAATTTAATCTCTTAAACGTCAGATAGTGCCCCTACTTCTCATGACAAAGTTTTGTCTTATTCTGATGATTGTGTTTGGGCGTCATCTACTTCATTATCAGAGCAAATATTGTTATAATTGAACTTAATTTTTTTTAACTCTTAATGAACTCTTAATGGTTAGAAATTTTCTGTGGTAGTTTTTAGTCCTAGCACATGCTGAAGAGTAGTTGCTTAATTTGCTTTTTCAAAATGTCTAAAAGGCTTTTACTGACTTTGGTTTTTTTTTAACCTCATAAGAGAAAAGTATGTTGTCTTAGCATTTGCCCATGTGTTTTGTTCTGTGTGAGATGTGATGTAGACAACAATGAGGTCTGCACAGTATGGTTTTATTTAATGAATTTCTAAACTAATTCTAGGTATAATCTCAGTTATATTTAGAGCACACCCATTCCTGAATCCATACCCCCTTAGAACTTCGTTTTTTATGTGTTTTGATTCCTCAGCAAAGCTTTGTTTAAAGCCCAGGGGTATTCTACTGTGTAACCATTTTAGCATCTCCTGTTTGCATTTCATTTACTTCAAATCTTTTTTTTTTTTTTAATTTTTTTTTCAATGTTTTATTTATTTTTGAGACAGAGAGAGACAGAGCATGAACGGGGGAGGGGCAGAGAGAGAGGGAGACACAGAATCTGAAACAGGCTCCAGGCTCTGAGCCATCAGCCCAGAGCCTGACGCGGGGCTCGAACTCACGGACCGCGAGATCGTGACCTGGCTGAAGTCGCTTAACCGACTGCGCCACCCAGGCGCCCCAACTTCAAATCTTTTGATAGGGATTGTCAGACATCTGCCAAATCCAAATAAGTTACTTTTATTATTTATCACCCATGAAGATTAATACTTGTGTGGAATTTTAATCTTTTAGAAATGGAATACATCACCTCCTCTGGTATAATTTACTGGACATTGGTGGCAGACTTTTGCATATGTGTACAGTATCAAGTTAAATACACCAAACCAGGGGAAATCACTCTTGTTAATAGGTAACCCATGAAGATTGTACTTCAAGACCATTTAAGAAAATGTTGCTTTGGATTCTTTCGTCAGTACTTCGATCTTAACTTTAAATTGTATACAACATAACATGATTACTCATTGCTCTAATGGGATGTTATTTGTATAGGAAGAAGGAATCCTATAGAAACAGGAAATTTTCTAAAACCTCTTAAATCCACATATACATGCTATCTATAAGTGAAAAACAAAGAATGTCCTAGTTGAAATTTTTCAGTTTTAAATAATGTAGGCCCATGTGGTAATAATCTAAGAAAACTGAAGACATTTCTTTTCATTAGATACCATGAACTGGTGCTCTTCTATGTTGTCTGTGAATCAGTGTCAATCCACAAACTGTTATCTACCTGTGACAGGATACATGTGGATAACTAATATTTTAAAAGTTTTATAGCAATCTGGGGCGCCTGGGTCGTTCAGTCGGTTGAGCGTCTGACTTTGGCTCAGGTCATGATCTTGTGGTTTGTGAGTTCGAGCCTCGCGTCAGGCTCTGTGCTGACAGCTCAGAGCCTGGAGCCTACTTCGGATTTTGTGTCTCCCTCTCTCTCTGCCCCTCCCCTCCCTCTCCTCTCCTCCTCTGTCTCTCTACATCAAAAATAAATAAATGTTAAAAAAAAGTTTTATAGCAATCTGTCAATAATTTTACGTCTGCCAAATTTAATCATTTAAAAAATGAAGCTTATAATTTGCATGTCTTTTTTAATGATGTCTTTCATCATTAAAAAATGATTCATTTTTTAAATGCTACAAAATTTATGCAACAGGTTAAAAATTAAAAAACAAAAAACCTTGATTCTTCGGCTCACATAACTTGGGAAGCAATGGCTTGACAATGGGAAGCAATGTAACTGTAATAGCAATCCAGGTCGATATGAAGTTCTCAATTATGACAGCAGCAGAAGTAAAAAGGAGGGAATGATTACAAGTCGTGTTAAAAAAAAGAGAATACCAAGGAATTGATGCTCCCTTGGGCCAGACAGTTCTGTAAGATGGACTGACAGGAGGAAGTCAATGTCAATTCCCAATATACATTCTGGCTTGGGTAACTGGAAGAAAGGATGCCTTTCACGGAGATTGATAATATAGGTTTCCAAATTCTCTCTCTTGGTGTTATTTTTTTTTGGGGGGGGTGGGGGGCGGTGTAGTGAGAACAGTTATAGGATGGCATTTGGTATGGGATACGATGTATTTAATACATCTGTCAGCCGGATGGAGATGTTTGATTAATGGCATATTATAAACACCTAATTTTAGAAAGAACTTCAAGTCCTGCCTCTTCCACTGACTGCTTGATCTCAAATGGGTTACAAATATCCCTTAGCTTCAATTTCCTCACCCATAAATGTGAAAAACATTACTATTTTCTAGGCCTGTTATGAGGACTATGTTATATGGATCTGGTCTCAAAACAGGGATTTATGGGGAAGATTCAGATTTCAGAATCACCTCCGTATACGTAATGAAAACCGTGCAGATGAGTGAGACTACTGAGAGGGAGGGAGGTAAGAGTCAGAGAGTATGAGCATTGAAGAGATGGGCAGAGGAAGAGGGGCAAAAGAGGAGAGTAAGAAGGAATTTACTAGAGGTAAGAAAATTAGGACAGTAGTATCCCAAAAAACAAAGGAACTTTTCATGAAGGAAGTGGTCAGCATTAACTGTCTTTGAAACATCAAGTAAAATGAGGCCTAGAGAGGTTATGAGATTTGGCAACTAGGGAACCAGCAACTTTCATAAAGCACCTTCAATGGAATAGTGGAAATGGAAGCCTAACAGCCCAAAGAATGGAAAATCTACATGGGAAGTCAAGGGCTGCAGACTATTCTTTCAAGGTACACAGTTGTGTATCAAGAAAAAAGACATAGGGTCAAACTAAAAGATAATATGGCACAGAGAAAAGTCCTTTTGTTTTTTTGTTTGTTCGTTTGTCTGTGTTTAAGATGGGAATAACTTAAGCATGAAGGAAAAGTAAAGAATGACAAAACGTGCAGGTGGAGGAATAGATGATAGGAAATGTTAGAATAACATCCCACAGGGATGGGAAGATACCACAAAAACTCTGGGAGAGAGATTAACCTGGGTGAGAACTAGGCACTTCTCCTCTGAACCTGGGAGACAGAAGGTGAAGACAGAGAAGAAGCATGTACAAGAGCATGAAAAACTGAGGATGTGAACAGCAGAGAGCCTCCATGTTCTCTGTGACAGAGGAATCAAGGCCATCTGCCCGAAGGCAGTTGTGGGGAAGGATAGGTGGCTTACGGAGGAAAATAAAGTACAAAAGCTTAGGCAGAGGACCAGGGAAAGTTGACCCATGGAAAGGTTATGGCTGAGAAGGCCAGTAAGTGCAGTAGAACTTCTCATACTACCAGTCTCCACAAATGCCTTTTAACAGTACTCACCAGCCCAAGTCTAAAAGAAAAAAACAAAAAAAACAAAACAAAAAAAACATGTATGTGTATTTTACCACAATTTAAAATGGAAAATATAAATGGAAAATATTTTTAAAGAGTAGAGACAGCAGATGGGTTAATCCAGGGTTAAATATGTAGAGAGGATGTGGTAAGAAGCTACAAGGAAAATGCATAGAAGGTGCTGGCAAGAGAGAAAATGATTAAATGAGGGGTTCAATTTAGAAAACACCAGAAAAAGTAAAGCTATGGCAAACAACATGGTGAGCAACTTGAATTAAAACAAGAAAACTTCCCACAAACTTTAATCCCTTTAAACTACCATCACATTTTCTGAGAAAATGAAATGAAATGGGGTATATTTTGAAATCAACAAGCCAAAACAAATTTAAAAGAATAGGCCTAATTTCAATAAGGCTTTTTGGGAAGATGCAAGATTGCTATATTCAATTAGGTATTATAGCAACTTGCTATATTCAAATTGGGCCTTAACAATAAAGAATTATGCTTCTTCTGAGGCCTCTCAGACATATTTAAACAGAGCTGAAAGCTCCAAGCATGAGACAACATTTATATTTTCTAGATCACTTCCAAAGGGAAACGTCATTAAATTTCTGAAGTGACGACTAATTATCAAATAACATAACTATTTCCCCAATAAGCAATCCTCGACTATCAAAAAGATATTTTATTTTTTTAAAATTTAATACTAAAAAGGCAAGAAAACAACTAGAATTCAGAACAAGAACAGTGATTTTTCTGTACGGATCTAATCTGACAAAACATTACCTAATCCCCTGACCCCCACCACAGATGCACTCAAAGAAAACTTCTTCCTATTAATCACAATGCTCATGTTAAGTTACAAATCTAGATATATCATCTCACCAGATTGTGAAGAGCAGACACTAAGAGACAATTTTTTTTTTAATTTTTTTTTT